CACCCGGCTGCTGCCGCTGGAGATGGACGACGCCGAGACGGGGCTGCTCAGTGCCATCTGCCTCATCTGCGGAGGTGGGTGCTTGGGGTGAGGGGGTATGGGGTCGGACACCCCGCCCGGCTCTCCGCGCGCCCCCGGCGCGTCCTGGCCGTCCTCTCCTGGTGGCTGGTCGTGAGGATCCCAAACGGTCACCCTGCCGTGGGAGCTGGGCTGAATCCGAGGGGCACGAGGGGTGCCTGAGGATGTGCTGCCCTCCCTAACGGGTGTGTGCCCCTCCCCAGACCGCCAGGACCTGGAGCAGCCTGACAAGGTGGACAAGCTGCAGGAGCCGCTGCTGGAGGCGCTGAAGATCTACGTGAGGAAGAGGAGGCCCAACAAGCCCCACATGTTCCCCAAGATGCTCATGAAGATCACAGACCTGCGCAGCATCAGCGCCAAGGGTGAGGGCTGGGGGGCAACAGCTGCTCTCGTGGCTCTGGGGACATCTCGGGGGGTCTGGGAGTGTCTGGGTCACTCAGCATCCTCCAGAGGGAGCAGGGAATGGGGGACACCCCCAGCACTGCGCCGCCCGGCGATGCCAGGCACATAACCCTGTGCCTTGTCCTTGGGGCCCAGGGGTGAGTAGAGGTGAGTGGTGCCAGTTGGGGGTATTGGTTTGGGTGTGCCAGTTTGGGGGTGCCAGTCTCAGGGTGCCTTTTCAGGGCTGCCAGTTTTGGGTGCTGGTTTGGGGGTGCCAGTCTCAGAGTGTCGGTTTGGGGTTGCCAGTTTTGGGTGCCAATTTCAGGGTGCAAATTTCAGGGGTGTCAGTTGTGGCTACCAGTTTGAGGTTGCCAGTTTCAGGTTCCCATTTTGGGGGTACCAGTCTCAGGCTACCTTTTCAGGGCTGCCACTTTTGGGTGCCAGTCTGAGGGTGCCTTTTTGAGGGTGCCAGTTTTGGGTGCCGGTTTGGGGCTGCTAGTTTCAGGTTCCCATTTTGGGGGTGCCAGTCTCAGGGTACCTTTTTGGGGGTGCCAGTCTCAGGCTGCCTTTTCAGAGGTGCCAGTTTGGGGTTGCCAGTCTCAGGTTGCAATTCTGAGGATGCCGGTGTTCGGGTGCTGGTTTGGGGTTGCCAGTTTTGGTTGCCAGTCTCAGGGTGCCTTTTCAGGGCTGCCAGTGTTTGGGTGCTGGTTTGGGGTTGCCAGTTTTGGGTGCCGGTTTCAGGGTGACTTTTCAGGGTGCCTTTACAGGGCTGCCAGTGTTTGAGTGCTGGTTTGGAGTTGCCAGTTTTGGGTCCTGTTTTGGGGGATGCCAGTGTTCGGGTGCTGGTTTGGGGTTGCCAGTTTCGGGTGCCAGTTTCAGGGTGTCTTTTCAGGGCTGCCAGTTTTGGGTGCTGGTTTGGGGTTGCCAGTTTTGGGTTCCATTCTGGGGGCTGCCAGTTTTGGGTGCTGGTTTG